TGTCATTTGCAAAATATTGACCAGGATAAAAAATAATTCGCTATGCGCTAATGTGTCGCCCGGACACACTCGCCGACCCAAACCAAACGGAATATACTCTGCGGCCTTTGATTCAATAAATTGTCCATGCTTGTCTAGAAATCGTTCTGGCTCAAATTTGTCCGGATTTTTCCACTTTGTCGCATCGGTCATAATGTGAACTTGATGCACCAGTACCTGGGTGTGTTTTGGTACCGTGTGCTTGCCTGATTTAGCATAAAAATTTACATTTTAAAACTTACTTTTACGTATAAATTAATAGGTATGGTACAATTTTATTTGTATATTAAAGTAAGTCTAACCCAATTGTGTGTCGACAACCGTTCGGTGAAAGTTTCCGATCGGCGCCGGATTTCTGTGCCGTAATATTTCGGTCATAAACGCGAGCGTATAGTTGAGCCGTGACTTGTCCTCAAACACTGGCACCCGATCGCCGATCTCACGGCTAATCTCGTTGCGTAACTTTTGTTGATAATCGGGGTAATAGGCTATGTATAGCATTATCCACAATACCGTGTCCTGAGTGGTCTCCACGCCAGCTGTTGGTAATGAATATTAATAAAATTAATATACGTTTACATAATATTATTTTCATAAACTTGTTAAATTGTTAATATGTATTATGTAATATACTTAAATAATATAATAAAATTAATAGAAAATTAAATATACTAAGTTTCAAATTTATTAGAATAAAATTAAATGAATGTGAAATACCATTAATGAGTCCACACATAGTTGTTATCAGATTCTCATCGGTTAGATATTTAGCCGACGGCTTGTTATCCGCAATGGCCTCGTGTTTAGCGGCAATAATTGTATCGCAAAAGTCACGCAAATTATTGCTGTCATATGTTTTCACGTGATTTTCGTATAAATCTCGCGCATAAATCCACATTTCGTCAAATATAGACTGATATTTAGCCAGAGGGTTTAGCATAAAATATTGTGTAATTGGTATAAAATCATATATAAACATTAAGCTACCAAGCTCATCTCCAAAGTCAGTTGTAAGGTATTTATATTTGTGGAGTTCGGGCTGTTTTATATCAATTCTATAAAACATTTAACATTATTTTCAAAATAGACATGTATGCTTTATATTTGAATTTAATAGTTTAAATTTTATAAATAAATATAGTTGATAATTACTTTTTGCTGAACATTACACATCCCATTATACTGACTATCAGATTGTATACATAAAGGTTGGGTTTGAATGGTGTGCCGATGCCCTCAATAGTGGTAATGTTGTCAATCATTTGGCGCACATTTTCGGCCACCACTTTAGACAACGCCTGTGTTTTGGCGTATTTCCTAAAAGCCAAATATATTATTTTGTAACATCTTTATGTAGGCTATACTGTGTTATAGTTTTATGATTTACATGTTTGCATAAAACAATGTTTCTATCAAGATTTAAATATACGCTAAAATACTTGAAATAATTAAAAACTATTATCAAGTTTATATATAACAAACTATTTTGAGAGAGAGAGAGAGAGAGAGAGAGAGAGAGAGANAATGTACGCTAAAATACTTGAAATAATTAAAAACTATTATCAAGTTTATATATAACAAAATATTTTAGGAGAGAGAGAGAGAGATAACTTACCGGAGAATTATATACGACTCTTTGCGTAGACTTATCCAACTTTTTGTGTAATCGTTAAAACAAACATCTTTACGTGAATTTGTACAGAATATTGGTGCTAGGTTAAATACATTTAAATTTAACAAATTATCTTATTGTAGTATTTATAAAGATTAATAATTAAGAATAAATGTATAAAATGTGCTTATTATAACAGAGATTTAGTTGAATTATATTATGTAATTATACTTTATGTACTAACATTTTACACATGACAAAATTTTAAAAATATAACATAATTTTACCCGTAAACTATTATAGTATACAAATAATTTATAATAGTTACTATAAATTATAAATGAATTAAATATAGTGTATGCATTATTACCAATTAAAAGTTCTGGTCTGCCTGAAAATTCACTTTTACCATATGCCTCTCGGGCCATCTCATAATTGCATATAACTACAAATGGCATACAACCTATCCACAAGGTAAATACAGGGCCGTAGACATCCTTGTATTTTAGAATCTCCTCTGACCAATGTCGTTTATACTTGCGAAATGCTAAAATAGTTTATTAA